ACATAAAAGAAGACATTTTATCATTTTTCACAAAGAATCCCTGCATTCATTAATGTTACAGAGCAAAGCTGTATTTCCTAATTGAAAGAAAGAAAGGGGTCAGACAAAGGTTTGGTCAACTGTACAGTTTTGGGATCTTGCTGCTAAAAGCCAAGAAAGCTTGCCTCACCTTGCAAGTCAAACTTTATCTTATTTTAAGTTTAGATGCAGTATGGTAAAAACTAATGGATCGAACAAACATTTAGTTAAAAAAGACTTGAAATGACCTCTTCTGGTAACAAAACAAATGTATTAGACTGCTTTGAATACTAAATATAACTGTTGCAGGCAGAGGTGGGTTACTGTAGCATTAGGGAGATGTGACACATTTACTGTCCTAATACACATTTCTAATTTCAACTCTTTCTGTGCCTTTTTTTTATTTTTGATTGATTTACTTTTTGTTCCATCCCTGCTTCCCTTATTTCTTACAATGACTGAACTTTTTTTTAATTGAATGGCAAAGTTTGAACCCATTTTCCACGTGCATGAAGGTAAAACAAAAAAAAGAAAAATTAGTAGAAAATATAATCACACTGTAGCAACCAGCAAATGATACATGTTTACTTTACATTTGCTTTTACTACTGTTTTAAAAAGTTTCAACTTTTTAGATGACAGTATCCRTTTCTCTTGGTGGAACCTTGCTTATCTACAGAAACATGAATAATTTTTTAAAGATCAGCATAAATAAATGTTGTATTTTGCCATCGAAAAGACTTCTAGATGTAGAAATCAATACACGCACTCACCCAGACAGCTTTGGCTTCTTGGAGAAACCAAACATGTCCACATGCTCCTGTTACAGAGCGCTAACGTCCCGGAGCTCAAGTTCTCCTCATCAGCATTCTAATCCACAACCAAATTCCTTTCACATTTAAAGCCCAGGTAATCCGGTGTCAACTCAGCTCTATGTTAAAAAAATTCAACAAAATTCTGCTGAATGCAAAATTTGGGATGTCTTCTGASTGGCAGAATAAAGTCCAACAGCAGCAAGTACTATCATCATTGTCAGAACCCCATCCGATGTGCAGGCAGTCCCGTTTGGATTTTGTTTTACTAGCAGTCTACAAAGTGCAGACAGAGTAAGGGTTGCCCTTCACCTCTCTCTAGGAAAAGTCAGCCCTTTCTGCYGCACTCCACCTGGATTATTTGGGCTGCAGCGAGCACTCGGTATGTGCTCCACATCTCCGAGCGCAGGGAAGAGCAGCGATCAGAGCTGCGGCAGGGAAGGGCGGGAGGGAYGGAAGCGGGAGGGAGTGGGGATGAATGACGGATGCGCTCTGGCTCCAGCTCTGTCCTCCCTTCATCTGGACTCCGAGTCTCTTTGCAGGACAGAGAGGGAGAATGCAGAATGGGAAGGGGAGGGGGACCAGGGGACGGACATAAAACAAAAGATAGAGGAGAGTGGAGGGGTAAACAGGAGAGGGAAAAGTGCATTGGTTGTAAAGAGAAAGCAACTAAGAGAAACAGGGGAGGATGGAGTGGTGATGGATAAAGGAAAGCTGACTCGGCAGAATGGGTTGCTGAGAAGAGCGAGACCCAGTCTCCCACCAGTTTTCTATTTTTCCACCCAGTTTACTTTCACACTGCAAGATTCTGCATTTATTAATTATACAAAAGGAGCGAGCGAAAGGATGTTGCTTTTTTGTGATTATCACCTACCACYGAAGGCAAATAGAAAATTGTTTTTGTCTATAGTGTTAGCAAAATATCATATAAAACAGAGAACACATTTTATTGGACCTCTAAGAAAGCTGATTACATTTTAAAGCCAACTCAATGCAATGTCACAAGAGCTAATCAATTTTCACAAGCAGAAGAATTTCTCTGTCAGTTTTTGCAGATGTTTCACTAAAGTGGTGTGTTAGTAGCTGCTCATGGTCRCCAGACTAATGCTGGAGAAAGCAAAAATGACTATAGGCGTTATAGACATTGAGTAAACATTTGGTGTGATAGTAGCTAAGAGTCATTCACACCACATAATATGAACTCTATCTCACAACACCGGTGCTCAAAACCATGACATTTACTGTTAAAATCAATGCTGTCTGTYRGCAAAATATCTTGTGAACCAATGAACATGGTTGCCAAAGCTAATCAACTTAAGCCAACTCAAAAATGGCTTTAATTCAATCAATATCACAAATACTAAGCTAAATTTTGATGTAAGATAGCTGAAAGTTATTCTAAACATGCTTTGAGCACAGACACGAGATGTCTCATAATGTCACTGAAAAGGCTTGACTATAATGGACTTTGCCATTAAAAGGTTGTGGGCGATAAGATTCCCTTGAGGAGTCTTTTYGGCTTACTGAAATGTGCAAACTGGTGATAATTACCTTTCCATGGTGGAAGAAATTAAAAACTATGAAATGATGACAAAATGTACTGTAAGATGCATACAGCTGATAGAGAAAACTGGAAAAAAAATGCAAAATGGAAAGGCATTGGCTCTGACTAATAACTAACATCTGGGTGCAGAAAGTAAAGATTTTCTGTCATTTTTGTCAGAAAAATTGCTAAAATATAACTAGACAATAGTTTGTTTTGTAGATTCCAGTACTGCTTTGAACATGATATTTACTAGCATGCAAACAAGTGCTCAGATATACAGGCCATATGAACTGAATGYATTAGTGTTACAATCAAAAAGAAAAAATAAGTAGGTCCTCTGGATGGGTTCTTCTTCAGTGAAACGTTTCATCTCTCCTCCATTAGACTTCTTCAGTCTGATGAGTTTCAGGTGAACTCAGCTTTATAAGCCCTTCCTCCACATGGACAAACAGGTTAGTCACATGCAAAAGAGGGCCATCGCCTAACAATAGGCTTGATTAGCTCTATTGTTCAAAGAGGGTCATGTGTCCAATCACATGACCCATATCGTGTTATGTGAATGTAGTGAATGCAAGCGGGGGTTCAGTGTCCCCTTGTTTTTGTCTCTTACCCTCTTTGTGTTGGGTATCATTGGGGTCCCGATTCACACCTTTTGCTCACAGGGGGCTGAGTCATACTTGCAATAACAGCATTGTAGGAGGACAACTGGACACGAAGGCCTCCACCTCTGTTTAATGGTGGACAGTTTTTCTTCACAAAGATGGCTTCCTTTACTCCTCTCTCAAACCAACGTTCCTCTCTATCAAGGATGAGAACATCTTCCTCCCTGAAAGAGTGACTGCTGGCCTGTAGATGCAGTAGTAGTAGTTGTCCTCCACCTACAGCGCTGTTATTGCAAGTATGACTCAGCCCCCTGTGAGCAAAAGCTGTGAATCAGGGCCCCAATGATACCAACACAAAGAGGGAAAGAGACAAAAACAAGGGGACGTTGAACCCCGCTTGCATTCACTACATACACATGACACGACACGTGTCAGGTGATGGGGCACACGACCCTCTATGAACAATAGAACTAATCAAGCCTATTGTTCGTCAATGGCCCTCTTTTGCATATGACTAACCTGTTTGTCCATGTGGAGGCAGTGCTTATAAGGCTGAATTCACCTGAAACTCTCAGACTGAAGAAGTCTCTTGGAGGAGAGACGAAGCGTTTCACTAAAGAAGAACCCGTCCAGAGGACCTACTTATGCTTTCTTTTTTATTTTTTTTCTACCTGGATTACTGAGATGCATCAGGACAATAGTGTTACAATTTTCTCACTTATCTATAGATTCAAAACATCTGTTTACAAAGCCTCAACAAATGTATGTTTTAAGCTGATGTTTTTCAGTGGAAAAGCTCAATCCTATTAGAAGCCTTAAATGTTTCTCACGGCCAAAACCTATTTATTGTGAACTTAAACAATTTTCTGGGAATAAAACATTGTACCTGACCATGTGAAAAGTGTGACATGTTATGTTGGGTGTGTGCTCCTTTGTCTGTTAGCAAAAACCCCTCAAACAATAGAATGGATTTTAATAAAACTCTCAAAAGGCAATCGCAGGTGCATCAACAACTGATTTGATTTTAAAATTAACCTGATTTAAGAAGCCTATAAATGCTACTTGACATTTGCAAACACAAAAAATGTGTTTAATTGGTTAAGTTTTAAAGCCATTGAACTAGTTGACAAAAAGCAATACAAACTGCCAAAAATGTTAGTTTCACACTGATTTTTGCTTTACTGATGAAGATAAAATAATTCTCTAAAACWAAGACTGCTGGGGAATAGAGAAATATTTCCTTTACAGTTTTTTCACAACAATCTCTGCRAGGATCTGTTAAAAACACAAACTGACAATATTCATGTTTAGATGTGCTGWATGCTCATACGGGAGTAAATTGGTGGTGCCATCTGTGTCTCTGGTGCTTCGTGCAAAGCAGCCATTTTACATGAAGCGGCTTTGATGCAAAGATTTTTTTTGATGACCCCCGCGTGTCCCTTAGGCAAACACTGAAAGCCCATGCCTGGAAACACATCAAACGYATTTCTGTGAATGATAACAGGCAAAGGACCCTCTTGCCCTTTCAAAAAATTTCGCACTGGTTTAGGAATCAAAGATTTCTCTGAGATGACAGAGACAAATGAACGAGGGCCTCTTATCTGTCACTAAAATCAATTTCCTGTCTGTACTTTATTACAGATTGAAGTTGTATTAAGGGGTATCTAATGTTATGCTGCAAGATTTCCAACTGTTTGCAGGAATTCGTCTTCACGGTGCRCATTTGTGGATGAATGAATCCAACATGTGTCTTTCTGGACAGGTGATGTCCAAATTGGAACTTGGACCTTTTTTTTTACAAGTCAAAGAGAAAAATTGTACAAACATTAGCAGGCAGGGTATCATCTATCCTGGCTGAATACTGCATTTATTTTTGCTCAACAATATTTCAAACATGAACACCAGAAAAAAATGGCAGGAGGCTGAGCAATAGGACAAACTTGTCTTCTGTTTGTTATCTTGCATTTGTTTTGCAACATGACAACAGTGTAGTCTGGAAAGCTTCTGTGGTAATTGTTTGTGCCTAACACACACAGGGTTCTTCTGTTTACACTTAAACAAGAATATAAACAACACTTTTGATACATGCACCTGCATCACTTTTGAGAAATGAACCTTTCAACTTTCAGATCAACCAGTTGGACAGACCAAGAAGACTTTGTGACTAATTGTTGGTTCCACAGAAGTGACAACTTTAGCCTGACAAGACTGAGGTGGTGACAAAGGAACAGGGTCTTGGGGGGGAGGATGAAAGGAGACAACGTTCAAGGACTGATGAGAGAAAGACTTTGAAAATAAAATGTAGTTGCAAAAGTTGTGAAATAGTTCACAAATCTTAGTGTTACTTTTATTTGAGTCTATCATAAAGAGATGCAAAGGAGGGGGCAAAATAATGTACTGCTTCCTGATGTTTTCATAATGTGTTTGAACATCTAATAAGGTGACGTTGTACCATAATGATAAACTTTCATAAAGATTCAAAAACCTCATGCAAATTCATTTTATTCTGCACATCTAATATTTTTTTCAGTTCCAGAGTCTTGAGTACAAAAAAAACTTTTCAGTCACTAACTCAAACTTAGCCATATCATTCATCTACATTTATTAACATATTACATATGACATTTATTTATGATTTTCTTCTTGAATAAATGTACAGAAAAAAAGAAAAAAAAACAGAGAGAGAGAAAAAATAAAGAAAAAGACAGCATGGACTCCTAAAATGATGATGGTAACCTTGCTAATCCAAAATGCTAGTTTTTTTTTCACATCACCATAGGATGGAATATTTTACCTTTTTAAATTTAGGTTCAAAAACTTGTTCAGCACCTGACAGGCAGGCACGAAGGACCTTTCCTTTTATCTCAAACAGCTGCTGTCTGATCTTGCCTCTTGGTTGATTTAAAACAGCACCGCCTATCGCTCTAAAGAGAGATAGGAACGCYGCTGGCATCCCACTTCTGCTTTGTGTCCCAGAGAGATTGGAGGAGAAAAGCAGTAGACTCTCCTTTGTCCACTAATGAATAACAATGTAGCCCAAGGTCACTGTTCCAGACTGAGCAAGTGTGTGAGTGAAAACTGAAAATGACTAAATCTGTGTTTTGCATTGACATGCACTACACTGGGATTCAACTGTTATTGTGGTTTGTAAGAGTTGGTATGTGTATAGAGGTAATGAAAGCTTCATTAACACTGCAGGTAAAAATGACCCATATCTGAATTTWATGACAGTCTGAACACGACTAATCCATTTTTTTTTTCAAATCTTGTTCAATGCGCTGTCCCTGGTGCTGAACATAGACACAGTGATCAGCACACTGAACACATCAAATAACAGCTAAAGTGCTATTGCAACTTTCTGTGTTAATAACCCTTTAACCACAAGAGAAATTGCAAATCTGATTGCAGCATTTGATTTCTGAGTCAATTCTGGTCTTCTTTGATATGTCATTGGAAAAATTTTACATTGATTTAACATGATGTCCTTCAAGATGGCAGCCATGTTTCAAACATAGCCTAAAAGATAGGGCTGGGGTATTCACATATTTCATTTTCTCTTTCATTTCTGTAATAAAAGGGTGTCCTGTGACAT